TATAATTCAAATTATATATATAAATAAATAATATTTTATTATTTCTAATAATTAGGTATTTTATAATTGCATATGGTATTTAAGTTGTGATAAATCAATAATTTGTAAAAAGCATGAATCTCCTCACACTTGATATGCAAATTTATTTAACATTCATTTATAGAGTATGTTTAATATATAAAAGTGAGTAATTATATATTTATTAGGCGTCTATGTTAATTTCTTTCTCTCCTTTATTTGAGATTCTTAATCGGAATGACAAGCATCTCGCATTTAAGAATATCACATGCTTTGCACTAAAGTCAATGTTCCAATTTGCAATTTCATTATTTTAGTCAACTTGTCTATTTTAGAAAACACTCGTAATATATTATTTTTTATTCCGTAATTGATCGTGCCCAGCGGGTTTTAAAAAAAAAATCATCTATAATGGAATTTATATCTATTATCTTAATAAAATCTCGTATGAAGTAAAACGTCAAATAATAAAATAAATTAAATTTTCTTTATTTGTTCTATGCGAGTACTTCAATGAATTAAACTGATTATTTTCACTTCCAAAACTTGTATTCGAATACCCCAACATTCTTGGTTAAAGGAATCATGCTATTTATATAAACTAGGTTAGCAAACTTAGTTTACAAATTATGCATTGACCACATCTAGATCAATTACTTCAAAAAATAGTTTTTGAAGTCAACGAAAATCAATGGCCCAGATCTTATCAACACTTTCTTTGTAAACAAAACATTGTAAACAAAGTTTGTATAACTAGATTAATTTTGGATTAAAAAAAAAAAGCGCAACTTTAGGTGTTCTAGTTTTATCCCGTCCCGTAATATTTGCTTATGTTTTATTGGATCTTGTTCAATAGAAGTAGATGAATACAAATCGTGATATGAGAGAGAATGATGTTCAAACAAATTACTATATTAAAATAAGCATTTCTACAAAAAAGAAAAAAAAAAATTTAAGTGTGAAGCAAAAGTACAAATTCTAAATTTTCTAAAAAAAAATGTAATAAAACTTTCAAAATCACTGTGTCCAATAAATAATGATGCCATGTTTTGTTAGTGGGCTTGGTGTCTCAAAATTATAAAGGAAAAAATAAGTTCAAATTTTAGTATAAATTCATTTTCAAATTTAGGTATGCAATTATACATCTATATTTTCTTTTTAATTTCTGAGATTGGTTTTTGTGGTGGTGGTGGTGGTGATAGAGATGGATGCACAGTGACGAGGAATTTTAGGATTTGGTGATTTTATTTTTCTTTCATTTTTTTATTATTATTATTATTTTTTTTTTTTTTTTTTTTTTTGGGTAGTGGGGATGGTGAGGGAGATGTGGTGAAAATTTTCAAATGAATATAGCTTTAATAATCATTTTAAATTAATTATTATACTTAGGTGACATCATCATCTGACTAATGCACACACATTATATCATTGCCCTAAGTGATCTTCAATGGTTTGCACCAATTTGATTAAACTTCTACATCATATTGGTGCAATTTTATTTTTCACACCAATTTGAGGTAACATCTTCAATGATTACATCAAATTTTAAGTCAAATGAATGGTATTTCCTATATTTTTTTAGGCCTTGTTTGATTCTTATTTTTATCAAAATGTATTTTCTCTTTTCTTTTTAATAACACATTTTTCATTAAAAAAATATTACACGTAAATCAAAAAAAATTCTTTATTTTTCATCCATACATAATACATTTTTCATCAATCTACTGTTCGAAAATTCATTTTTCCAACAAAAAGGGTGTCAAACGCGCTCTTAGAATTTAATTTATTTCAAAAAAATTATACCAAATGGATAGTTTTCAAAATATCTATGTTACTCTAGTCCTAATTTTTTCTTAATTTCTAACTATCAAATTCGTAACATTTGAGTTTTTAAAGAACAATTTTAATCTATTGTATCAATACTTATTACTTGATTAAAATTTAAAAACAAATATTAAGTAATAATCATCATCATCGTCATCAAATTGAAAATTATAATTAAAGAATAATGCTACACGATCCGCATGGATGACCGTGGGGATGACGGCACACACACACACACACACACACACACATGGGGGATGGGGATTATTTTATTTGCATGGGACCCAAGCGTCCCATGTGAGGGAGCGATCATTGGGAGTGTCATCCATGAGAGTTAAGTAGAATTTCCCATAATTATATTTAAATCAATTAATTCTAAAAGGCTAAAAAGGAGTTAATTTCACAAACGGATGCTAAACTTAACCTAAAATTACAAAACGGTCATTGAAGTTTCAAATTTTCATAAACGGTCACTTAAATTTCAGGCGGTTTCACTAATGGTCACTGAAGTTTTTAAAACTTTCACAAATGGTCACTTCAAGTACCAAAATGATTCTAATTCAAACTTAAGGACTGAAATATGTGACCATACAAATTTCAGAGGACCTCAGGTACAAAATGTTTTCCTCCCACTTCCATGTTCATTCTCCTTCTCCGGTGCCGATGGATTCAAGGCCAAAATCGAGCACCCTACCATCGAATAAACCACCGGATTTTTACACCACAAACACCTTCTCATCACCCTTCACAATTCTATACCAATAATCAACCAAAACACATAAAAAAATGAAATGAAATTCAAGTTCAAAAAAATGTAATCACGCACGATTTTCCTCCAATTCCGGCCAACCCACCATCACCCATCCCAAAACTCCATCACATACTGTTAGTACTCCCCAAGACGAACATGTGCATGGTCCCATACCATCACAAAACAATTTAAATCTAAATCTAAATGATACCAGTTTGAAGGTAGCTGGCAACGAACTTTTCTCTCCAATTTTCAGCGCCAGCATCAATAATTACGGTCGGGAACCACCATCATTACCTTCTACTCATCATGGCGAACAAGATGTACATATGGGTCCTCACCAATTTATTTCGAATCAGCCAATTTCTGTTCATCCATATTCTACGTGCGAACGGCTATCGAAACGATTTCAATTGAGCACTCAAATCTGATCCAAACTATAAATAAACATGGAGAAACTGAAATTCATCATCAAACAACACTGGGAAACCTTTCAATTGCAGAAACTACATCACCAGTTTGTCAAATTTTGGGGTCAAATGCTTGAAGTGCCACGGAAAATTGAAGGGAGAAGGAAAATGGGAGGAAACTTTTTTGCACCTGAGGTCCTCTGAAATTTTTATGGTCACGTAATTCAATCCTTAAATTTGAATTAGAATCATTTTAGTGAAACCGCCTAAAATTTAAGTGACCATATATGAAAGTTTTAAACTTCAGTGACCGTTTTGTAATTTTTGGTTAAGTTCAGTGACCATTTGTGAAATTGACCCGCTAAAAAATGATATAGAAGGAACAACAATTTGTTGTAATAGAAAATAATGAGCAATATGAGAATGAACTTTGCTTGGTATACATAATTTTTGTTACATCAAGGTGCCCCACACTCACATGGGTGAGGCCCATCGAATATTTTATTCGAGTGGACCCCACCACGTATGAGTGTATGGATATCTTAATGTACAAAATATTTACATGTAGGTTTAACCTATGAGAATAATGAATTACACAAAATGAATAGTGTGACAACCAAATTTGGTGTGACATTATTTATTAGACCAAATTTGTTGTACCATTGAAGTGAAATTTTACACATTTTACACTAATTAAGTGTATCGTTGGAAATGTTCTTAGAAAAAAGACCTTACATCATACTATTTATATGTGAGTGAAATTACCCTTTTCTCATGCTACAAATATAATTCTATTACTTTTATGGACAATTTCCAATATTGCATTCATAACATAATTGTTTTAGAGTTTAGAAAAACAAGATGAGAATGGTTGTCCATCAATGATTCATTAACACGTCATTTTTCATTTATTTTTAAGCATAAGTGACAGTAAGAGAAAAGTTGGACATGTCAATTTAAAGTGAAGTGTCAATAAATTATTGAATAGATATCAAGTTGGACATCAGATCTCAACTTAGCAAAACGAGATGAGAATTAAATAAAATTTGTTCCCAAAAATAATAAGCAAAATTTGATCAATAATAACCATAGCTCTAGCGTTGGACAATTAAACTTTTCCTTCGTTGGAGGAGTTTTTATTCAGGGTTTGTTTGGTAGTGATTTTGAAAATTGATTTTTTGATCGTTAGGAAAAAGTGAGAGCCACCTGTGAGAGAAGAAGTCAAAAATTACGACTGAAATAATAAAATAATAGTCAAAAAATCAATTTTTGGGGTGAAAAATCACTCCCAAACGAGGACCTCAATAAAAGCATTGATTGACGGATACTTTTAAAAACTAGGTCTACCACGTGCTTTATCTTTCTTGTCAAAAAGTTTCATTACATTATGATTATTCGAAAATTGGTATTTTAATTCTTCAGACAAATCTATCAAATTTGACAGATTTTCCGATAATTCTATCAATCTATCTAATTTGACAGATTTCATCATTGCCAAAATGTTTCACATGCCAAACCAAAGTGTCGGTGGTAAATGGACATTGGAAAATGGCCAATGTATAGGATATTTTCTCACGGAACTTTTACCGGAAGACACATGGGGTCATGGCCTCAAGTGAATATTTTATTGAGGTGGACTCCATTAATATATGTAATCTGTGAAGTACTTGTATGTTTTTCCCCAATAAGTGTAGCACAATTCATGGACATTTCAACAGAAGAAGCCAATGTTGACTTTAATATTGGATTATCATTTGTAAATTTTTGCATTGAAGTAACGGAACGGAATCGGCTTGACTGCGATAAATAATCGATTTTTCAAGAAATAGAACGAATAGATAGAGGCTTAATTGGATTGGAGTCTTAACTCAATAAATTCTTCTTCTCCACTAATATATGTATATATATATACAAATCGATTTCCTCTCATATAAACATACTTTTATTGTCATATAATTTATACTAGGAAATTATGAGTGCAAACTTTTTAGGCACTATTGAAATTTACTCGAACATTTTATGTTTCATAATTTTAGTCATTTCGTTTCACATTATTGGTCCCTTCGTTCGAACAAAATACACCAAGTACATTGTGCATACCAATTCATGCAAGTGCATATTATTTAGCAAGTAGGGCATAAAAAGAAAAACGAAAAGCAGTAAACACCCGCAATAATATGGGCCAAAAGCCCATAAAAGCCCAACAACTCTTACATCACAGAAACCATAGACGAGTCATGATCGTCAATCACACGTTTCTTGTCATCAGACGACAAACAAGAGTTCCTCATGGCAGTGAGCTCATATGGTTTCGTATCCGTAGCTAACCATTGCTCGACCGTAAAAAGTGTTTGGGCACATTGCTTGTGGACCCCAGTCGTCGTCACCTCCACGTAGTTACAGTACCATCCGTGGTGCGGGCCGGTCCCATCTGACGTCAAGTTCATTGTGCACACGGGCCCGGTCAAACATGGGCCCCTCCCACTAAAGATGTCCAAATTTCCTCTCTCAAAATAGTTGTAGCCTGGGCCCATAAGCCCACCCCAAGCCTCAAGATTTTTTATCCGGATCCCATATCCATTAGCATCATAAAGAGTCAAGGTAATATTTGAATCAGTACCAGCCTTTATGATTGATCCGGTTCTTACGTACACCGTGTACACACAATCGGCATCATCCTGTCATTTTTCACAAATCAAATCTTGATAAGAAAATGACTATTTATGTCCGATACGCAGTACTCGATTGATAGGTCCAAATATGTTATGCTATTCGAATCCCGTATTAAAAAATGGCATCGTTATATACATTGGACGAGAAAAAGATGAACGTAAATAATGTACAATTTGAATCACCTTAGTACTCAACTCGTCTAGACAATTATAAAATGAGACGAGACATATAAACACACAAGAAATTGATCTAAGGAGAGTACTTACAGATCTGCAGATGGTGAAGATGGAGAGGAGGATAAAGAGAGAGGCGCAAATGTGGATGAGCTTCATGGCTTATTGGGATTCAGTTGTTATTTTCTCTCTCCATATGTGGTTGTAGATCATGAAATGTGAGGTCTGTATATATAATATTGATAAATAAAAGAGAAAATAGTAGGAAAGTCCCCAACTTTTAACGTGTGTTGTACCTTAGTGCTTAACCTTTGAAAAGAAGCGTTAATTTCACCAACTTACGACCTAAGTGCTACTAAAATGAAATAAAGAGGATGAGATTGCTCTTTTTTTGAAGATTGAAAATTAAGATGGTTTAAAACAATATTTAAATGAAATACATGTAGCACTCTCTCAAAACATAAGCTTTTAAATCAAGTGATTTAATATGGTACAGAGCAATTTAGGATCCGTTTGGCAGAACTTCCGCTTGTTGTACAATAGCTTTTTGCAAAAATTAACTTAAGTCAACTTCCTCTAAAAGCCTTTTTTAACTAGATAAATCATTTATAGAAAGTTATTCAAATATGTTTAAAAATAACTTTATCTCATAAATAACTTTTGATAATTCAGAAACACTATCAAATAGATGAATTTGTGTATGCAACCAACTTATGATGAGACTCTCACTACACATGAGGGGTGTATTACAATAAGAGTCCGTTTGATTGCAATGATGAAATTTGGGTGGAAAGAAAATGAATTTCGAGGAATTGAATTACCTAAAACTTGTTTTCCTGAAAATTGTTAATTAAACGTGTCTTATTAGTATGATTTTCCACCTAGAAAATGTTGAAATTTTGGATCTTTTGGCATTCGTTTGGTCTTGTTTTTCATGAAATTTTTTAATTAAAGGGATAATTTTTTTTACAATTGTTGATAGATTTTGTTTTACCGTTGCTGAAAATTTAAAAAAAGAAAAAAAAAGTTGAAAATCATTTTCTCACCCTTAAAAAGCTAAAAAAAGTGTCACGTAGGGTGGAAATGGAAAACCAATTCTATGGAATTTGTTTACAATCAAACACCCAATTTTGACTGAAAATGGAAAATGTCTTCCATTTTTCATGGAAAAAAGGGTTATCAAACATGGCCTAATATTAAACTCTTGTTTGAGCTACATTATTTTTATGAGAATGTATTTTTTAATAGTATATTGATGAAAAATATGTGGTTAAAAATAAGAAAAAATTCTGAATTTGAGCGTAATATTTTTTATTGAAAAATGTGTATTTGAAATGATGTCAAATTACTGTTTAAGAATATATTCTTTTAAAAGAATGTAAATCAAATAGAGTCAAATAATATAAATATTATAATTTTCTCTATCAATTACGTCAAAAGGTTTGAACCTCAATAGAGAGGGTTAAGGTCTCTTGGACAATCCCTTGAACTTGTGTGGCGCCCCCTCCCCCACCTCATTGGTGCCTAAGTGCCGCAAGCGCCCCCTACACACAACTCCTAGACGTTTTGGGGGTTGTCATCCAAGAATAACTCAGAGAAAGCAAGTAGGATCAAAATGTACCATAGAAAGAAGAGATTTTAAGATTTGTTTTGATATTTGTGGATGCCGTTCACATGCTTATTTTCATCATTATAGTAATAATACGAATGCGTGTCCATGGCCCATGTGCTCAAATGCTTAATTCCAATTTTTTTCCCTCTACTTTTTCAATGGGTTAGGTGAGGTCTTTGTTTTGGTTATATTAATCATTGAATTTCGTGCAACCCGCCGACCCCGACACCTAAAAGGAGGAACTATTGTTTTGGTTATATTAGAGCCCGTTTGGGAGTGATTTTGAGAATTGATTTTTTGACCGTTAGGAGAAAAGTAGGGTCCACCTGTGAAAGAAAAAGTCAAATATGACGGCTGGAATAGTAAAATAAAATCAATTTTTTGGGTGAAAAAATCGGGCCCAAACAGCCCTTAATCATTTTTCTATATGTTTGCACTTTCTGTTTATAATTGCATCGATAAAGAACCTTAGATCAGTGCATGATTTCCATCATCTAATTAGTAACAATCGACCTTCAAAACTCTTATCTTGTCTGGATAAGAGCAAACGAGCTTCCACATGTATGCTTGCTTCTTGTTCCTTCAGCTGTAGAATGAATTTTTTGAAAGTCAATAAAATAAAAAATAAAAAAAAAATATATATATATATATATATATATCTAAGAAAATGTATCTAGTGCACTAATTTGACAAGAACAGTTTTGGATTGGATTGTTCAGTTGTCCATGTCCATGACATGTGAAATGAGATAAAGTACTATCACGTGCATGGGAGTAGCTCCAAAATATTTAAGTCTGCTAATCAAGAGTTGGGTGTGGAAATGTACAATTTTTATTAAGGTCCCAAGCCTCATTCTTCAAAAATTTATTTATTTATTAATTCATTTTCATTGCACATTAAATAATTTGCACATGAACTCGAAACTTTTCTCTATTTTTTAACAATACATTTTTATCTCACGCTTTCAATAGATGAAATTCATTCATGTTGTCTCACGGTCTCTGAATAGTTTGGAAGACGATTTTTTTTTTTTTTTTTTTAAATCTGTTGTGGATGAAATTCGACTAGTGATGAAATGAATGTAATTGCCAAGTTTCCATTAAATCTACATGGTTTGACTTTCAAATTCACCAAACTCATTTTTTATGACTATCTTTCATCAATTGCGTCATTCAACAATTGAAAGATCTATAACAAGTTGACATGTCTTTTTGACCTTTAAGGAGGGAAGGTCTCGAAGTGTCACATTGCACACTTCTTCATTTTTTCGATTTCCAAATTTTTGTTAATGCTTTTGTTGAGATATTTTGTATTTAATTTCAGATTGATTAGTCCAAATTATAAAGAAGACAATGTCAAATTTCTTAGAATAGTCATATTAAATTAAATGTTGAATTAGCATTGATGGTGAGTCCAACATCTATACACGTCATGTTTTGAGCCCACTAATATTATTCGAGATGAATCGTGTCAAAATGGTATCATAACTTGGCTTAGAGTTTGTAGGCTTCCATTATACATGCATTGATTTTTATTGTATCATGCATATTTTATAGGTGAGTCATGCGTCGTGATAACAATATTCAGAGTCTCCAAGGACTTGGTTGTATGGAATTAGAATTTTAAATTAGCAAAACAGTTTAGGATCTTTGTACAGTTGGAATTAAGAATTTGTTTTGTGTGTCTATATGACTAAGTTCGGGTCATAACTCTAATGGACTCGTTAAGAATTGAAGTTTCATTTCAAAATATTAATCTATTAGCAGGTGAACTGACTCGATTATCTACTTTATTTGATTTATTTCTTGTAACGTGGCATGATAAATTTAAGTTGACTTGCCCCATTGTCAACCTTTTAATATTCCAATAAACTAAGCAGGTCATAAATCATGATTTGTGGATGCTTCATCATACTCCATGCTAGTTATATTGCATATAGTTATCTATAGAAAACTTAAAATAAAAACATCAACTAATATTAGGAAATTCGTGCGTGCAAATATTTAATTATGTATGGTACAATGTATACAATAAAATTAGCTATGATTAAAAAATAGATGATAGAACATTTGCATATTAAGCCCCTGTTTGAGGTCCTTTCTTTTCACAAAAATACATTTTTAAACAGTATTTTGACATTATTTCAATTACATATTTTTCAATAAAATAATATTACACACAAATTCAAAACTTTTTCCCTATATTTTAATCACATTTTCCATCAATAAACTATTCCAAAATAGTTATGACTTACAAAGGGGATTGACAAACTTGGATGACAAAATCACATCCACACCAATCATTTCAAAAACAGATTTTTAAATCATTTAAAATCAATGACCTGAATTTTGCCAACACACTTTATAACTCAACTTTTGTAATCCAACTTCGTACAAGTAACTTTATTAATTTCATTTTTCCTGTAAAATGAGGCTCAAACAAGGACTAAATCATTCCTGACTAACGTACATTTACATTCAAGGATGTCAAAAGCGTTGTGCCGTACATTTTCACCGCAGTATAAAAGTTCCTGTCCAGCCAACTTTCATACATTTCCAATATATATAAACTATATTTGAAAAAACTAAATTAAATATAAAATTTTAAACTTGCAGGCTGGTGCCTGCAAATTGCTTAAGCATGCATGTTTATAATGTAATTTTTTTTATTTAAAAAAAAAATAGCCAGGACCAGACATTTTGCCGTATTGAACAGATAGTTGTCAAGATTGGACATTTTGCCATCCCGAACAGAGAGAGAGAGAGAGAGAAGAGAGAAGTGCCTGTTTGGAGCTCCCAACAATCCAAAGTCATATAACATTCATGATCAGACAACGTTTACAAACAAGCTCTAAATGTCTAAATCGATATAATTCGACAAAAAGGCATAAGCATGCCATTCCTCTAATACAGAACAAAAGGAAGGTACATAGCTTGAATATCCCAAGTAAAAGGGATTTTCATGCAACAGACAAATATGCCTTGCAGGTGTTTTGCATCTACAAGAAATTTTAAAGCTATGAAATTTAATAACCAAGTAGAATTGACTAATAAATCTCAGCCTCCAAATCAAAACTAATGCTTCTCTGAAGATGAAGCGTTAATGTGCTCCAAATCTGTCCTGCATTGCTCCCTCAACTCCACTAGTGGTAGTAGATTAGTTTCCTGCACAAGGCAATAAATTGCTGTAAGTTAATGCTTCCAAGATCTTGATTTGGAAGATATCTTAATAAAACCACTATTCCCGGAAAGAAATGTTTGTGCCTGAGTATGCATTTTCCAGATTAATGGCTTCTATCATTGATTGCGAAGAGGTTCGTTTTTAGATCAGAGTGGAAGAAAGAAAGCGATTTTGAAATCGGGAGATCCAATGAAATTGAAGAATTAAAAAGGAGTCATTAACGAGGTTGACTACCAATTATCTTAATGAAGCACATATATACCATAATATCCCGGCTCAACCAATTTCAATTCGCATTAAGGAAATGATCCTCCTGGGTGTAGAGAGATAAGACTTGTTAAGTTTCAACAAAAACCCGAGTTTACCATTTCGTTTGGAGCTAATTATAAACTTCAAGGAATCGGGTTGTAAAATTACACGTTAAGTTCAATTTTCGAATGGTATAATACAATTTTCAAATGCACTTGAGCAGTGGATTTCATTATTTTTTGTGCATAACACCTTCATTTGTTTCTCAGAATTCTGATTTTGGGCATGTGTAGCAAGGTGTTTATAAAAAGCAGTAAATGAATGATAATTGAATGATGAAGTGGGTAGTATTTTTGGGTTTTACAAAATGTATCGATAAAAAGTGGTTTCACCAAGTATTTTTTTTTTCACCAAAGTGTTTATAAATACATAGAAACAATGAGCCAAAGATAAGCTTATTTTCAGACCATGGCATGTATTCATTTCCTGTACAAAAATACTATGTATAATAGTTCTATACCTGCATTGACACTTCAATCAACAATATCAAGTCTCCAGGACTAGTTCTTAAACCATTTTTGGTGATTCTAAAGTTATCCCACAATAAATAAATAAAATCAACATTGTCTTCAATTTCATGTTACAAATAAGAACTTAGCAATAACTCCATAAACCTTGGAGTCGGATGCTTTTCATTTTAAGAAAGAAGTATTTTGCATGTACAGATGCTCATAGCATTTATTTTTTGTTTTCAAAGGCCCAAATTCATTTTTGCCAATTGATAACTGCAGCATCAATTCCATCCAACAAAACATAAAAACATGTCATCCTAGGTGATATTTGATAGATCAGGAATAAAATTATTCACACTAGGTTTCTGTTTCACACCATAAAATAAAGCCAAGAATCCAAAAGACAAGAATGTGTTAACTTTACTAACTATACAACTAAATGCAGCATCATTAGACCATTCATGTATGCAGAAACAGCAGACTTCCTTGGACTAACTTAAAGGGAAAAGTTTTTACCGATAAATAGGAGAATATCTCCAAAAGAAAGGATGGACTTACAAGCTGGTTAGACTCGTGCTCGCATGTGTCCACCATGTGTTGGAAGAGATGCCTCCACTGATGCATCAGATCAGATTCTAACTTTGAAACTCTAGAGGAGTTTCCAAGACCATGTTTCTCAGTTGCCTTACTCCTAGAGCTTCTTGCAGCCAAAATGCTTGCTTCTTTTTGGCTCTTCTTTATTGCTTAAAAATTTTGAATACAGATTGAAAAGAGAGCAAAAATAGATCAAAACGGATGAAAACAATTTTCCAGTCATAGTTACATAGTAGCTAACAAGCATGTATAAGCCCACCAGAAATTCGAGCTTTGGTGTCCTGGTAGTGGAGGTCCAACCATATATAAGCAGCTGATTGCACATAAAATCATGCCCTTATCAATACACACAGTGAATATATAATATAGCAATAAAAAATGCAATCAGATGTTTCATGACCGACAATATATAAGGCTACGTGCAAGAACAGGTAAAAAATGGATTCATACCTTTTGTGCAAAAAGAACAAGAGCATGCTTTGATCAAGTCAATCTCTCCACTCATATTAGCACATTCATTGCCCCTTTTAAGTTCACTGCATCTCTCTAATCCAAACACTCTAGATTCTTGTGACTCAGGCAGTATATTACAGTCAATGGACCCAGACTGACTCAAGACATAACTATCAACATTATCATCATCCCCATAAGTTTGACGATCAGTTTCGCTCTGAGTGCCTTCATTACTGACTTTGGCTTCATCATCATTGCAATTCTTTCCATCAAGAACACTATCACCACCAGTTTCACTATTTGGCACCGAGATTTTTGTAACAAAACTGTCAACGAACTCATTAATATCTTCAGCATTTAAACCATGGAGACCTTTACCCTTGTCAAGATCTAATAAATTTAGGTTCCCATTTTTGCTGGATATTTTTGAGTTGCGCATTGCACCATCTCCTGAATTGCTCACAATAACCTCAGCCACTCTGCCAGTGCCAGTATCTATCAAGCTGGAGCACTTCTTTTTGTGATCTGTATTTGGAATCCCTGTAATCACACACTCCTTTGATGAATCTATCCCATCACAAACATCAGCTTCGATTTCAATTTGATTAAAAGCTCTGCCCGCACCAAGTTCTACTAAATTAGGGTAAACAGTATTTTCTCTCAACATTTTACCCATCCCTGAAATAGCACTGTCCTTAAAAGAATTGGTCGCATTGCAGCGATCTGCAATGTCATTATCAACTACATCCCCTTGAATAACAATCTTGGAACCAGAATCCTCACTACTAAGATCCACAATCTTGGGGTCCTTATTTTCATAAAGAGATTTTGAACTACCTATTTTAACATTCTTCATTTTTTTACAATTCTCACTTTCGCTCCTATTTTTGACATCTTCAACTACAACTATGCTCTTGAGAACAGCAGAATCCTCGCAAAAATCTAAACCATCTGTGTCCTTGTTTTCATTGGGCACTTTTGAAATACTCGATATAACATTCCCTTTCAATGAGTTAATCTCGGTACACGGGCGAGGCAAACCACGTGGCTGTTTAACCTTATCTTGATCGTTGAAATTATTTCTCTTAATTTCACATGTTTCTTTCTCTGAAGATCTCCTCTTGCCAAGCTGATTCGTGACATCACCGAACACTGATCGTAGTTTCCTATACCCATCAGAAGCATTCCTCTCGGCCATCACGAAAATTCACTCTATGCAACAAACTCAAACCCAAATATTCAAAACCCAATTTCACAATTGACTCTCTAACACTTGGTTCACAACCCTACTTAACAGATTTCTCCAAAATCATAGATTTGCCAGCCCCTGCTCCACAAACACGGATAGAAACCCTAAATCATATAAATACATCGCAAGTAATAATTTTTGAATACAGATCTATATCAGGAAACAAGAACTAATCGGAAAAATAATAGAAGTATGCAAAGCATTTTGTAACCAAACTCAAACCCAAATATTCAAAACCCAATTTCACAATTGACTCTCTAACACTTGGTTCACAACCCTACTTAACAGATTTCTCCAAAATCATAGATTTGCCAGCCCCTGCTCCACAAACACGGATAGAAACCCTAAATCATATAAATACATCGCAAGTAATAATTTTTGAATACAGATCTATATCAGGAAACAAGAACTAATCGGAAAAATAATAGAAGTATGCAAAGCATTTTGTAACCCAAAAAAAAATATATATATATATATATACGATTGTAAAATGATATATGTCAGATTCCTGGTGTGAATTTGGAACAATCTACGTATAAAATTTGGTACTCACCTTGAGGAAGAGAGAAGAAAATTTGGGGAAATTGGGTCTTCGGCTTTGTTACGAGCGAGAAGTGGATTGAGAAAAAGGAGGAGGGAAAATGTTCGCTGTCTGCTTTGAGCGCCTTTAGTTTTGAATTGTGAATTTGGGCGCGTTCCTGGGGCAAAAAATGTGACTAAATCTCGAAAGTAATTCCATTAAGCCCCTAATTGACAACCACTGTTTTTTTTTTTTTTTTTGGGTTTGGTTAAAATGATGTTTGAAATAGTGT